CAATTCTCGTTTTTTTTTTTTTTTTCACGGTAAAAGCATACAGATCGGGAATGCATGGAGGAAAGTATTACACGCGCGTTGCAACGCGAAGAGAAAGCGCCTTGTTACAGGACGACACGTAATTCTATTTCCTGCTAGCCAATTGCTATTGGATCGTAAGACACGCTCGTTTAAATACCTCAAATTCTTTATGTATTATAGCCTGCATTATCGTCTTGTTGTTAACAACAGCGGCGTGATTAAAAAGTCAACGAAACTTCTGTTAGTGAGATTTTATTTAATTAAATCTTGTTTGAATGTAATTTAATTCTGTCTTCATTTGCGTTTAATTTTAAATTGATAGAAGGGACTGTCACCTTTAAAAATTCATCGAATGAGAAGGCTTATTGAATTTTTATGTAACATAGATTAATTTTTAAACAAGTGATACAAGTTTATTATTCAGCCATTCTATAAAAGGAAGAATATCTTGCTACATAATCTAATATGTTGCTGAGAATTAAGTTAATTAGACAACCGAGAGACTTGTCAAATTCTTCAACTTTTTACACAATAATGCATTCTATAATTTCAAGCCATTAAATTAGGACCATTCACAATTTTCGACGTTTCATACATTTTCAGTCAAAATTGAAATTTAAATTTACTGCATGAATGCTGTCCGCGTCGTCTGTGAGGTCGCTTCGAATTTTTATTCAGTCCTATCCCCCTTCCCGCATTATTTTACATTTTTCAATACACTCACTGTTCCATTGTACAATACCATTGGATGCCGAGAATTCTGTCTCAGCGATAAAATTTAATTCAAAGGAGAACGTCTGTAAATATTTAAAAAGCGAAATTTTTCTTAGTAAGCAGAACAAAGGAAAGCGTTTAAAATGTCAAAGTTACAGAACACTTTTTGTCTAAACTAAAAATCACCAAAGCCATAAAATTAACAGTAAAAATAAGCACGTATTTTTTTTTTTTTTTTTTTTAATAAAAACGGCGCGGGAAAGGACAATAATTTAAGAAATATTGTTTTCGTGGACGCTCATTAAATTAAAACAACTTTTATTATGAAACTTCTTTCGCGAATTTGCGAATTGTCAATGTCTTTTCTTTTATTAATTCATCAGTAGAAATTCTGTATATAGTAAACTATTTATGAAAATAGGTTTTGTTAATGTGTCATTCGTTTCCACAATATTTCTCTGATCCCCTAAATTACATTTATTCATCCCTCTCGTGGCGGTGTATTTCCTCATCACTTATCTGTCTTTCGTCCGAAACAAGATCTCCCGTAATAATAATAATTTTATACGCACGTTCAGAAAGCATCTGTTGTCCATTTCGACGCTTTTAACGTTTCAGACGTTTTTCAGTTTTCACGGAACGAACAAAAATGGGGGATTCTCACTGAGGCGAAACTCTATGTAGAAATTGTTTGCTTTTTGTTTGACCAGCGATGTGTACAGTGGCGCTCGAAAACGGGAGAAAAAAATATCGATAACAGAGAAGAATCGTGTTTGCAAACACGCTTTCACAAGCGTTGCATTTTTCCTTCTCTCCTTCTTTTTCGTTTTTTCCCTCTACTTTTCTTCCCTCTTCCGAGTTCATTGGAGCGGCCCCGCATTCCCTGAATTCTGTCTGACATCTGACTGAACATTAAATAATTCACGGGGAAAGGGTTATTACGATTTTCGACGATAACGAACAGAAAGACGATGAAAATCAGTTAGACACGCTGCTTAACATTTTCCTCGTGTTCCTTCGAGCCCGACAGAATTCTCTTTGTTCATGTACACGAATACGAAATGGTAACAAAAAGTGTTTAAAGTGTTCGTTTTCTCTGTCGAAAGTTATAACCGGCAGTTTGCTTTGAACAACTTATAATATATATAATCATATAATTTATATTTGCAAGAGGACTATGGAACGTATAATTTTCTATAACATAGAATTTCATTTGCTCGTTAAAAAAAACAGAAAAAATTACTTCAACGTTAAAGTTAATTCTAGCTGTTTGCTTGCAAAATCTGAGAAAGGGAAGAAGAATATTATTATAAATAAATAATTTGGCATCTTTGCAATGGTGTACAATATGCAAAATAAAGAATTGTCAAAATGTCAAAATTCCTAGCTATATCATATTCCAAAGGATCAAGCAATTTCGTTCAATCGAATTGTACACTTGTAAATTGCAGAACCGCAACAAGAATGAAACAAGAAAGAAAACAGAAAGGAACGAAGGGAAGAAAGTAAATCTCATTTTACAATATTCAAATTGTTCGCTTCTCGATTACTTAAATTATTGCACCGGCACAACATTGTTTCCGCCTACATATCGATATCGTAGATTTATTTGAGAATTTATGGTATCATAGATTTGTCAGAATTTATGGTATCGCAGGTATTATAGAATTTATGGCATTGCAGGAAGAAGGAGGAAACGAGCCGACCTTTCAGGAAGCATTGATCAATTCTCATCATACATTCTATAGTGGACTTGAGCGCATTTTATCTGGAACGAAACAATGAGTAACAATGGTTTGAGATAATTCATTATCTCGGCTAATTTATTGTAGTTATTTCAGAAATAACATGGGGAAAATAATTTTATTCCGGTGCGAATCATTTGCAGTGAATCTCTTATCGGACAATTTCCTGGTAATCTCGATTGTTCGAGTAAAATAACGAATAAAACTACCTGAAATCTTTATCTGATTTGTTCGATTTTTATTTTTAATAATGACTCTGTCGTTCCAAAAGAAATTTTAATTGAAC